GCCCCGTTTCCTTGCTGCCACCTCTCCCACTCCAGCTGTCTACACCGGGCACCGCGACTTCCTGGGCACCTGGGAATCGGAGACTTTGGTCAAATCCAGTGAGTTCCCATGTGATGGGGACTCTAAGCAGTGCAGCAGGGGCAAGGAAGGAAGGTGGGGAGGGAGCGTAAACTCATCCCTGGTTGAAAATGTCTGTCGTACTCTTTCTTGTGTTGGTGACTTTTGGGTTGTTCCTAGGTTGGGGCCATTACTGATAACACAGCCGTGAGCTGCAGGTGTCTCTTGGATGTGTGCCCGGGGTGGCCCTGTGGGAGCCAGCCTGGGTCTACAGTGAGTTTTATTTATTTATTTGTCTATTTAGGTGTGCTATGCAGTTCAGGCTGGCCTTGAACTCACTGTGTAGCCAAGGCCGGCCTTGAACTTGCAGTGATCCTTCTGCCTCAGCCTGGGATTACAGGTGTGAACCACCATGCTTGGCTATAGTGAGCTTTAGTAGATGCTCCTGAGCAGCTTTCCGGGGTAGTCATTGCCCATGATGAATTGAATGAATGAATGAGTAGGATAAATGAATGAGTTTCCTCTTAAAGTCCTAGGCTCAGAACACAGGGCTTCCGGAAGCTGTAGCAAGGGTTGTTGCAGTAAGTGCAGCATAGTTACCCCCCTCTAGTCCCAGCACAGGATTGCTCCAGCCACCTCCAGGGAAGAGGCTGAGCCTGGTCGGTCTGAGCACTGAAGCACACACACCAGGTATGCAGTAGGCATTCCGTAGATGCTTGTGAAGCTGGCTTCAAAGAAGCACAGTACTGGCTCTGGAACCCTGGGCTCCCAAGGGCCCCAGGCCTGTGCTGCCCACCTTCGGGTGCTGGGAGGGAGCTGGGGAGAGGCAGCACCCAGCAGGGATGCAGCCCCCAGCCTCCTTCCTCCACTTGATTTATTTAGACAACTGAGCCATATCCCGGGGAATGGATCAGATTTCAGATCTGACAAAAATAAAAACAAACTCGGCCACCCCCGCCAAACCCAGCACTCCCGCCCCCACCTGCCTCCCAGACCCCCCCATCACAGAACCATGCCTGCAGCCCAGAAGGAGGGGTGGTCGCCATGGTAACTGGGCTGGCCTCTGGCTGGCTGCTGGAGAGGAGGCTGCCCTACGGCCGCTCACTGGCTGCTCACTCGCCGCTCACCCGTCAATCTGGACCTGGCTGGTGACCCCGGCCCCACCCCTGCCCTGGTCTCACGACTCTGTGTCGGGGTGTGGGGAGGAGTTACATGTTCTGATCCGGCTTAGCCTTTTGCTGGCTGGGGACCTGGAGGTCACCACTGCTTCCTGCTGTAGATTTTCCTTCTTACCCAGCCAGGGGCTGGAATGTCCCCCTTCCTGGTCCCCTGGATGCCACACAGGCCTGGACACCCAGCAAGGCCATGGCCAGATGGACTGAGAGCCATGCTCACCACTGACCCGGGCCGACCTCCCCTTGCCTGGGTTCCATGTGCTGACCTCATGCTCTGCGGCTTGTGTTTGCTGTCTGTTTAAATGAGATAATGCACACAGACTGATTAGACAGCTTCTCGGCAAACAAACCCTCGAGATCACTTAAGAAATGTTTGCTGTTGCCGTCATTACGATCACTAACTTGGTGCCTGGCACACAGCAGGTGCTCAATATATGCTCATTAATTCCCTACCTGGCTCTTAGGGCCCAGCTCTGAGGACTCTGGGAGGCACTGGGGAGGGGTCTGGGGAGAGGGGCTGGGGTACTGGGTGAGGGTCCAGGCCTTTTGGATGGGCTCCCCCAGGGGCAGCTCTGACAATGGGGAGCCAGGGTGTTGAGAGAACCTCGCAGCCCCCGGAGGCCTTGGGCTGTTTTCTCCTGAGGCCGGGCGTCAGGGGAGGCTTTGCCTGCCAAGGAAACTGTATCGATTGGATCGCCATTGATCTGTTTCTCCATCTGCGCTCCTCAGAGATGCTCAGGGCTGCCGTCCGGGATCTAATCAGCTCGAGTGACTGCCGTGTGGTGTGGTCGCTCAGAGTGAGAGATCGCATGCGGAGCCTGGACCTGTGGGCAGAGGCAGGCTTTCGTGTGGGGTCGCAGTGGGTTTGGGGGTGAGGAGCGTGTCCCGAGCGTCGTTTCTGCGTTGGGCCTGCTTTGGGGCCTGGGCTGGTCTCTGCCATGTCCCATCCTGCGGTGGGGGATTGGACCTGTTGCTCTGTGACAGGAGCAAGGTCCTGGATGCCAGTCGGGGCTTTGAGCCTTGAGTCAGAGGCGATCAGAGCCATTGAAGACTCCCAGGCTCAAGACCCCTTCTGCTCTGCTTTGAGCCTCCAGGCACTGCTTTGAGCCAGACAGTCCTGGTTCTGGGCGACCTCGGGCAAGTCACACCAGCCCCATAGGCCCGCTTCCTCATCTGTCCCCAGTGGACTGTGGTGACGGCTGAGCTTGTGTCCCTAGGGTGCCTGGAGTACAATAGTCGTGGTGACTGCCAAGTTTATTACCGTGATGCTTGCTGGACCAGGGCAGCAGGGAGCACTTCTGGAGAGCAGGCTGAGCACTGGCATGAGGAGGATGAAAGGCGCTTCAAGGGAGGCTGGATGGGACTGTGAAGGATGAATAGGAGTTTGCCTGGAGGGAAGGAGATGCAGATTGGAAGTGCGTGCTTAGGGACAGCAAGAAGTTCAGTGCCTGCCAAGGCCAGCAAGAGATTAGACCAGAAGTGTTCGTCAGGCCATGGCATCAGGCTCAGGGGTGTCGGGAGCCCTGCGAGGCTTGGAGTAATCAGAGCTGCCTTTCAGTTGGGTTAATCCGGCCATGACAGTGCAGTCTGGGGCAGGAGAAGCACCGCCTCTTTCCTATCTCACTGTGGCTCTTTGCAGCTGGTGACCTTGGGCAAATGGGGTTCCCTTGGTGTCTTCATTTCTGCATTTGTGAATGGGGCTCGCTTGTTCTCGAGAGGGCAAGAAGGATCATGCAGGAATATCTGCAAACTCCCAGCTCTGTGTGGGCCCAGGCAGTAGCCTGCTAATGCCTGGCACATTGTGGGGGTAGGGACCAGAGTTGGTGGCCAGGGGAGGCCGGCGCTTGGTCCAGGAGGAAGGGGAGGCTTGGGCAGGGATAGGCCAGGTGTCACGGAGGTGAGCACTGGCCTCGGAGTCCAGCGGGCCTGAGGTACGTCTCAGCTCGGCTACTTCCAGGGTGTGACCCAGGAGAGGCCTGATTTCTCTGAGCCTCGGTTTCCTCGTCTGGGAAATGGGCCACCGACCTGCTGGGCTCAGGGACCTGCAGAGGCTGGAGCAGGGCTACCGGGCTCCCACGAGACCCTGTTGGGTGTGCTCTGAGCTGGGGCCTGAGGAAGGGCAGAGGCGCCAAGGGAGGACAGGGCTGGAAGGAGACGGAGTGGGAGGGACAGGGAACCTTGGCTGGTAATGAGAACGTTTGAACTTCAAAAAAGTTAATTAACGATGGAGCTGTGCCGGAGCAGTGCTCGAGCTGGAAGGGGGCCCTGGCAGCGACTGAGATTAATTACAGGCTGTGGCAGGAGAGTGGCAGCGGGGTGGGGGACAGGAAGGAGCGGGGCGGACAGAGGCACAGAGAAGGCAGCGTCCCAAGGTGGGGGGGCGGTTGCCTCAGAAACCAGGTCAGTCTCCCGGCGGGGGAGGGGCACGCCCCACTGGAGGGGCTGTGGTCGGGGGGTCACGAGTGTGACTCCATCGAGTTGCCATCTGGGCTGCGGTTTCCTCAGAGACACATAAGAGCCCCGGGGACCTAAAGACCAACACGTACACTCAGCAAACCTTTATTGGGTTCCTACAAGGTGCCTGTCACTATTAAAGCCATAAGTGCAAAATCCCTGTCTCCTGGAAGGTGAGATCTAGCAGTGCACAGGGACAATGACTGTGTCAGCAGGAGTTGCTGGTTGTGGCCTTGGTGATGAGTGCTTGGAGAGATGGAAAGACAGGAAAGGCTGTGGTGGAGGAAGCCAGTGGGGATGAGTAAGGCTGAGGTTAAAGGGTCAGCCCTGCAGGGCCTGGGAAGCATCTCCAGGTAGAGGAGAGCATGTGCAAAGGCCCTGAGGTTGAGTGTGCCTGAGGCCTCTGAGGAGCAGTGAGAGGCCAGTGAGGCTGGAAGGTGTGAGTTGGGGGGCTGGGGAGGTAAAGGGTTGGGGGGAGGCAGGGAGCTGGGGCCTTGCAGTGTGGTGAGGGCTTTCAGGTTGATGCTAAGATGGAGGGAGTTGCCTCTGTGGTTTTGGGCACTCAGTGCTGCTGTGGGGAGGGGCCCTGGTGTGCAGGAAGGAGTCCTCATCTTGGTTCCCCAGTACCTTGTGCTGGATTAAGAGACTGTCCCTAGTTGGGTGTGGCGGCACAGGCCTATAATCTCAGCATCAGGAGATTGAGGCAAGAGGATCACCAAGAATTTGAGGCTAGCCTGAGCTACAAAGTGAGTTCAAGGCCAGCCTAGACTATACAGAGTAAGACTCTGTCTCTAAAAAAAAAAAAAAAATTAAATTTTAAAAACAGAGACTGTGTCTAGGTCCCCTGATTGCAGGGGGCCAAGTCCAGCTTAGTGCAGGCTGGGGCGAGTCTGGGAGCAGCAGCCAGGGTGTAGCTGTGAGTGTAGCTCTCCCAGGTGGCAGTGGCAGAGGAGAAGGATGGGGTGTTCAGTCAGTCCCAGCCACAGTGTTGTGCCCTCTGCAGGCTCCGGAGCAGGCCTGGCACAGGTGGGAGGGGTGGGCCGGAAAGGAGAGGGTCAGAGAGGGAGACAGAGACGGTTGCCGGTGGGCGACTCTGCACCATCTGCGGGTGCCACCCCTTCCTGTGCATCTCAGGCTGGGGCGGGGGGAATGCGTGGTGGTGTCCCAGTGGGGTTCAGGTCCCTGGTGGGTGTGGTGTGGCCCGTCTGCTGTGATGGGGGCAGGGGTGGGAAGGGAAGACCCAGGACATCCCTGAGTGCACCCAGGCCTCCAGCCCCGTGCGGTCTCCCGTTGTGTCCTTGACCTTCTGTGCACGTGGTTTGAGTGTGTCAGCATGCTGGTGATCCTGCTGAACTGCGTGACCCTGGGCATGTACCAGCCGTGCGACGACATGGATTGCCTGTCGGACCGCTGCAAGATCCTGCAGGTGAGGGGCCGCAGGGAGACCCGGAAGAGAGGCCGTGGGCCCAGGGTCTAGGCCTGTGCTTGGAGGTTACTGGGACAATGTGGGAAAACCCCTGGTCCCGCCCCGACTGGGGTCCCCTCTCGTCACCTGGGCTAGGGCAGCAGCAGCATGGGTTGCATGATCCTGGGCAGGTCTGATCCTGAACCCCATCCCCCGAGGTCTCCCTGGCCCGGAGAAGGAGTCCCAGGTGTTTGCCTTGGCCCCTCCGGTCCACACCAGTGTCCCCACCTCACCCTGTGGTCCCAGCCTCTGGGTCCTGCTCTGAAGCCTCCTGGGGGCTTTGCCTTCTTCCTTCTCCCCAGGTCTTTGATGACTTCATCTTCATCTTCTTTGCCATGGAGATGGTGCTCAAGATGGTGGCCCTGGGCATTTTTGGCAAGAAGTGCTACCTCGGGGACACCTGGAACCGGCTGGATTTCTTCATTGTCATGGCCGGGTAGGTGGTGAGCACGCACAGGTCAGTCGGCTTGGCATGACAGTGAGGAAGCAGCGTGGTACTGATGGGCTTCTGGGCCTGGAGGGGAGGAATGGCGCCCCCTGGAGGACAGGCCAGGACAGATGCTCCCTCTCCCCTACCGGCTGGGACAGGCTCAGCTCTGCTTTAGGCTAATTAATTCACTATTACTTTAAGAAAGCCACATGGCCTCTCTAAGCCTCTGTTTCCTCATCTTTAAGATGGCTGTAGAAATAGTAGCTATGTCGCAGTGAGCCCCAGTACGCTGTAGCTGTCACTGTCCTTGTCATCATTGGATCCCTAGCGAGCTGGAAGTGGGTCTGTGCCCAGCTTGTGGTGAGAGCCCTGAGCCCAGCCTGGGCAGCAGAGTGGCTCCTGCCACAGTCACAGAAAGGCCAGGTGACAGCTAGGCACAGTTCTGTACTTCATTCCTGCTTCCTGGGTTACACCGTTCCTGGGTTGCTTTGATCCATCACCAGGGCCAAAGTGGTCCTTATCAGGTGTCAGTGCCCCCTACATGTCAGTGAGGAGGAGGGAAAAGCAGGCCTGGCCGGTACCGCCCGGGACACAGACTGGGACAGGCATCTGGTGGCTGCGCAGTGGCTGTGTCCTCCCATGCTGGGGCCGGGGCTTGCCTGGGGCAGAGCATTGTGGTTTGCTGAGTGCATTGAACCCAGGAGCCTGACTGAGCCAGGTGGGGACTCAGGGAGGTGACATGCAAGGGTGGAAGGACAAAGTGGCACTAGCCATGTCCAACCAAGAGGCAGTATGGTGGGGGAGAGGACGGAGGGAAAAAGGCCAGAGGCTGCGAGGGCAATTAGAGTGTGTGTGTGTGTGTGTGTGGGTGTGTGTGTGCGCGTGTGTGCGTGTTCGTGTATATGGATCTCAGTGTGTGGGAATGTGTACACTGCCACAAGAAAGGGAGGGGAGAGTGGCTTGCACGTGGCTGAGGAGAGGATCAGGGTGCGGCGTATGTCAAGTATGTGCTGAATGTATTGGCAATTTCCGCATTGCTGGGACACGGGAAAGTTAAAGGAGGACAGGTGTATGTCGGCTCGAGGTTTCAGTCCATGGCAAACTGGCTCCACAGCAGGAACATTAGGGGAAGGGCCTGCTGGAGGAAAGCTCTGGAATCAGAGGGAAGGGGCCAGGTACAGTCCCCAGGGTCACACCCCCGTGACCCACTTCCTTCATCGAGGCCACACCTCCTAGTAGCTCTGTCAGCTGTGAGCTGGTTGATGGGTTAACCCACGTTCACAGTCCAAGTGCCCCTCTAGGAGTCTTATTCCAGGCAGACTGACCATCAGGAGGGAGCGGCACACCGGATCCAGGGATCTGTGCTGAGGCGGGATGATGTTTTCAGACGCTTGCCCCTGCCTAGCGTCCCTTCCTACCAGCCCCGTTCAGTCTCACAGCCGCGTGATCCACAAGGTTCTGGGCCTGACTGGAAGGTTGGGGGCTTCCGGTGGCTCCCGGGTCCTGTGTCGTTCCTCGGTCAGGTTAATCTGTGTTCTCATTTTGGCCTGGCTGGAGAACACACTTAAGTAGATTTTTGAAGAAAAGGAGATTGGACAGTGTCATTTTTAGTCTGGCCTGTCGGAATGCGTCCCTTTGATCTCAGCGTGGGAAGGGCAGTTCCCGTGTCTGCCTGATTCTCAAGCCATGAGTTTTCCGCCTTACAACTCAGCATGGGTTGTGCCCTGTGAATGGGACTGCAGGGTCTGGAGCAGGCCCGATTCGAAATTCTGGGAAGAGAACTGGCTTTTTTCTCACTAAAAGCTTTTTGAGATTTCTCCTCACCTTCAGAGCCTAGACCTCTCTCTAGGGCAGGGGTACAATTTATGGAACAAAGACTCACGTGTTCCTTTGGCTCTTGTTATTTCTTCTTTGGTTGTTACCCATTCTCAACTTTCTCCTTCTAGAAGATTCCCTCCTCTGCCTTTTCTCCACCAGTGACCTTCCCAGCAGTGGCCTTGCCCCTACTCTTCCCCTGAGGGAATCGCTGCTTTTCTTTGTCTTCCTTGTCCTTGGTTTTGTTTGTTTGTTTTTGTTTTTGTTTTTTGAGACAGGGTCTCAGTTATGCAGCTCAGGCTGGCCTTGAACACACAGCCTAAACTGGCCTCAAATTCACAGAGATCCTCCTGCCTCAGCCTCCTGCCTCAGTGGTGGGATTACAGGTGTGTGCCACCATGCCTGGCTTTGTCCTTGAGTTTCTTGGTTTTTCAGAACAGCTTGTGTCTGTTCTTGTTTTATGCATGCAATATTTACCCAGATCTCCTTCTGGATACTAACCAGGCTCCTTCAAATCCCTTCCTGATTCTGGTAATAACCCTGTGTCAAAGTGTAATTTCCAAAAGTTTAAAAAAAAATGGCCTTCCCACAAATTTTGGAGTGAACCTGTGTTGCAAATTTATTCAGCTCACTAAAGAGGGGACTGGTAGAATTAGGAAAGCAGGCATGGGACAGAGAATGTGGACAGAGCAAGGTGAGGATCAAAGCTGGTTAATGACCTACAGATAATAGAACCACAACCTTTGGTGGCAGGCAAAGATCTTTTCTATTGAGCGGAAATCATGTGCATCTCTGCCAGATAAAAATCTACAAGTTAACATGTAATTTCACGGCTTCTAGACCTTTAATTAACAGGAAATGGTGAACTAGGTGAAGGTATATTCCCCTAGATAATTAAATAATCTGTAGATAGGCCTGCAAAATTATGCTCCAGTGTGACACAGTGAGAAATACTTCCCGCCCTTTGCCTTATTTCCAAATTTCAGGATGATTTTCCCTAACTCCTCTCCCGGAGAAGTCATTTGTTTTATTGGCTCTACCCTCTGCCTCCTACAAACCTCCCGCACTGCCCCCTTGGGACTTAAAGCCCCTCCTCTGTTGCTTAGCTCTTCCTCCCGTTTATAAATGAAGACCACGGGGCTCTGAGCTGTGCCAAGGGAGGAGCTGGCTTTGGCATTGCAGGAGGTCGCGGTTTGATGTCATCTCTTGGTCTTTGGGTTGGGGTGGGTGTGACAGGACCTGGGGGTTAGGTCCATGGTTGGCCTGCAACGTGAGCATTCACATTCTTACTCTACAGACAGGGGCCCCGGTCTCCACTCTGCTCTGGGCCGCACAGGAGATGTCGCTGCCCAGCTGGGGGTCGGGTTCCACCGGAGCCTTTTTTGTTAGTCGTGAGCGTGCAGATGCCCGGCCTGTGCTGGCTGCTGGGGACTCCGACTTGCACCTGTCCTCAGAGTCCTGTCAATCCCTTGTGTCGGGGGACAGCACGAGTGGAGCACAGCATGGGTGGGTGGCGAGTCACAACCTGGGGCTCTAGAGCTCAGCCCCCTGGTTCTGCCCCCACCCTGGCCCCCATTGTCCTCAGCGTGGCTCATCCATCCCCCACTGTCCACCCAGTCTCAGTGCTGTAAATGTTCTGTTTCCAGAAGTAAGAGGCCCGAGATCCTGAGGATGTTTTCTTCCTCCCGGCCCCAGATTGCTGTCTCCTGCTTTGAGCTCCGGAGGGTGACAGAACCTCCGAGTTGGAAGGCTTCTTAGAGGTCACAGCCTCCGTCTCCACGTCCCTCTCATGGGAGGCTTAATTGTTTGCGTGCTGCCACTGCAGGAGACTCACGACCGCCCAAGGCTGTCACTCGCTAACTGGCATAGCCTGGTGGGCTAGGAAGTTCGTTCACTGAGCTGGACTCTGTCTGCTGGTGGCTCCCACCCAGGGGTACCGTTCACACACTCACTCATTCATAAGTCCGCACGCATTGGGACCTGGGACATGCCAGGCCTTGTGCTGGGCAGTGGGGCCGTGATGACGAACAAGACGGGTCCCTCATGATCTCATGGAGTTCACAGTTTAGGGGACAGATGTAACAGACCTTCAGGTGAAAAGTCGCCGGCCTCCCCTCCTGGCTTTGCATCGTGCTGTCTCTGCCCCCAGCTGAGGAGCAAGATCTTGGCCTGTTGAGGACCGTGGCTTATGGGGTACAGGGAATGGGCTGTGAGGTGCAGGGCTGTGGTGACTGTCAAGTAGCTGTGCCCCCTGCAACTCCCTGGGTTTCTTTACCCTGGGATAGAAGCAGGTGATTTCTTTAAACCCAGATGCCAACCTTGATGCTCACTGCTGTTACTTTCAGCTTCCAGGGGCCTCTGGTGTCCCATCCGGCCGCTCTCTGTGTTGGCTTCCAGTGTGTGCTCAGCCCAGGATGCCGGTCCAGCCACACCCCGCTCCTCCAGGGCGTGACAAAGCCTGGGCCCTGTCGTCACACTTCTGGTGAAAGGAGCCCCCGCCATCTCTTCGCTTGGGTGCACTTCCCTGTCTTTGCCCTTTAGGAGGCTGTGAAATATTCAATCACATCCTTGTTGGACTTGGGCTCTGCTCTGTCTCGGTACCTCCCTTAGTGTACCACACCAGTAGTTCTACCTCGTCCCTGGTCCCAAACTTGAAGATGACCTGAAAATGACCCCTGCTGTGGGAGGGGCCCGATGTCCCTGATAAAAGTTTCCCTGAGAATTCCGGTGCTGATCTCTGGTAAGGTTGCCTAGGGCATGACTGGGGGTGCTGTGCATGAGTGCAGGGATAGTGGCTGCGATGGCATCAGGGAGGCAGTGTCCTGAGGGACAAGTGTGCAGCTCAGGGTGGGGACCCCCCCAGCCTATGTGCAGACTTTCACCCCTTCTCCATCCTCCTTAAACTTCAGGGAGCAGCAGGATCACTGGGGCACTGATTAGAATGCAGACTCCCAGCTTCACCCCAGGGATCTGGCACCGGCAGCTATGGCAGTGCCTAGGAATCTGCACTCCAACCAGACGTCAGGTGGCCCCGACGCCGTCGTCAGGGGGTCACGACTGGAGCAGCCAGCTTGTGGCAGCCCCTCGTGGGGAGCACTGGAAAGGGGAGACACCTGGGAGGACCCGTTATGCATCTGTGTCCAGGGTCCGAATGATTCTCGTGACAGCAGAAGCACTTCGGGAACTGGAGT